TCTAAACCTCCCCTGATGCAGCTTGAGCCAATTTCCTCTTGTCCTATCTTTATCTACTTGGGAGAAGAGACCAACACCCACCTCACTACAACCTCCTTTCAGGGAGTTGTAGAGAGCGATAAGGTCTCCCCTCAGCCTCCTCTTCTCTAAGCTAAACAATCCCAGTTCCCTCAGCCGCTCCTCATAAGGCCTGTGCTCCAGACCCTTCACCAGCTTTGTTGCCCTTCTCTGAACGTGCTCCAGCACCTCAATGTCTTTCTTGTATTGAGGGGCCCAGAAGTGGACACAGTATTCCAGGTGCGGCCTCACCAGCGCCAAGTACAGGGGGACAATCACCTCCTGGACTGCCTCTCCCCAACCAGGAGTATGTACCCCGGGGAATGGGTGAGTGGCCAGCTCCAGTCCTGCACAACAGCACTCATATCACAGGTGGTTTCACGGAACACTTTCATTTCATGGAGCACTTCCAGCTCCCCCCAGTGGACAAAAAGCCATCTCTTGATCCATAATCTGTGGCAGACAGGTTCAATGACATGAACCTGTTGGCACCACAGGGCATGCCGAACACTGAAAACCAGAATCTCCACTGAAAAGAGATTGACCCATGGGACAAATTCATGCACACGTTTATATACAGAGCTCAGTGAGCAGAATGCTTGAAAATAAAGGCTAAGGGAAACCATTCCAGCAAGTGCAAGGAATAAAGTCATATATAATCAATGTTTGCATTGTAGGCTAATTTTCTACTCTATAATTTGATTCAGCCACCAGCATCACAAGTCACTGAGTTTCCCATAAAAACTAGATCTGGATATAGACCTAGGAAACCTTGAATTTCCATTTTACTGGAAATTTCATTACTTCGACATCTTTTTGTTTTAATTCAGGATGAAAGTATATTTGTAAGATTTTCATATTTAAAAATGCTTGCATTCGTTTTATCTTATTTAATGATTGGACATTTGTAATAGTACATAACTACTAGTTATACGACATAATACTTAAATGAATCATTTTCATAATCAGCAAAAATATCTCCTACTTAATGTTGGTTGAACTACCTATTGCTTTGTATTCAGAGTGCTTACAGTGTCATAGCAGTCCCAGAAGGAGAAACCGATTCAAGCGTCAGACTCTTTCAGTATGGCAAACAACAGAACTCTCAAAAAGATAACTTGTTCCCATTGGAAAGTAAGACATAAAGAATAAAGCAAAATATTTCAAGCATTATACTGAACACTGTTACAGACATTGTGTAAAACATATTAACAATAATATAAAAATCATATACCTTTATGGGTCAAAATGAAGCTTCAGAGCTCAGAAATGAAATTCTGAAAAATTCCAAAAGGAAACTTGAAAAATGTCTACTTCAAAACCTCTTTGTCCATTCTGAACCTTCATCATATTTTACAATAAAAATTGGTTTAATTTCATCTTATTTCTCTTTTCATCAAAAACTGGAACAAAAAAAGTCCAACCAGCTGCTATTTTTTAATGCATATTTGAACTGGCATTTCCTGAGTTTATGAAAAACAAAGCACTCCATTTTACGTATATGAAATAAGGATGCTCTATATCCCATGTATAAATATTAATTTTTTACAGTTCTTTTCTGTGGCATAAGACAGTTTAAAACTCACAGGCAGGGAGAAGGTCTGCTGCTAACCTGCAACCTGTCACAAAACTATATTTTCAGGGCTAATCATGTCAGCTGTCAGGGCACAGCAGGGACCTGGGCACAGGAGCCAAGCAGGGTAACAAGGCAGGTGGGAGCAGCACCTTCCACCAAGGAGCCAGGATGCAGAGTGGCAAATCCAGGTGGCGACCAGGGTCAGACATCGTCCAGTGCTCTCCCGGGACGTCCACAGCAACGCAGGGCTCTCAGCGGCAACAAAGCTCCCCTTGGACTCAACCAGCTAAATGCTTTACCTTTGCCAAGTCATCTTCTGGAAAGGGGATGGACATCTGGCACTGACATCAGGAATACAACACAGCCTTAGCAGCTAAAGGTTTGGAATACAGTTGAATGAAACATGCATTTCATGTGAAGAAGTCATTCAAGAGCATGAATGGGTGACTACATAAAACAAAAACCAAACCCTGTTATTGTTGCCTTCTTAAAATGCACCACCTTAATTAAGAATAAAATAAATAAGGGCTATGGGGGAATATTTATGAGGAAAAATCACCCATCAAAAGTAAAGCATATAAGAACAGTCTGGGAAACCTCAGTGCATGCTTCCCAGACAGACGTGTTCCAAAGGCTTCTGTAGAGCCACACAAAACGTGTAATGATATTACAATGCAGGTTTTAATGCACATGGAAAATACCCCAAATAAACCTAACTTATAATGTGATTTTTTCCTAAAACAATAGCTCCAAATTCCACTGAGAGTAATGGAAATCTTGCCACACATATCAGCAGGCTTCATGCAGGCTGAGCGCTACATGCAGCATTGATTTCTGCCTCCAGCAAGGGTGCAGCTATGGGCATCAGCAACTGGAGGGTGAAAGAAATGATGAAGGGCTCATTCATTTCCAATCCCTCCATCATTTCTTGCCTAATTCCTTGCAGGGGTAAATATCAGATGTGCAGTGTTTGCTCTTTGTAGGACAGCTAGAGACCTTACACGCTAGCCTTGTTCCCCTTGCCTAAATGGTGAAATAAGGATTGTTGCAGCCAATGTACAGGGCTCTGACAATACAACTAATTTCCTTTCTATCTCGTATATCAAGAGCTGCAAAAATATATCCTGAAGAACACAAAAACTGGGGGAAATAAATGTTTTTTCCATTGCCTTTATTTTTCATGTTAAATTTTAATAGACTGCTTAAATGCTCTACACATCAAGGCAATCTTTATAAACGTGGTGTGACTTCCAGCTAAAATAGGAGCATTTGGCATCTGAAAAAGCTTCCCACCTCCTCAAAAGGCCTCTTTTCATGCTCCTGAGGAAATCAAACATTACAACAGAGACTTTCAAAACCTGGGTGAAAAATAAACAGTTAGCAACTTCAGCACATACATAATGAGGGAGCTCCAGATATCTGTGAGTCAGGTTTGGACTGTTTTAATATAGCTACAATGATTCAACAAACGTATGTTGGAGATTTAAACGGTTTCTGAGGATTTCTATAGCAGGCAGGAAACAATCATGATATTCAAAAGGCACTATTCTAAACAAACAAATTGCTCCACCAGAATTGTTAGCTCCCTGCAAATTCTGTATAGAGTCTTTGAATAGTAGTGTAGAACCATATTCACATTATTTAATAGATTTCAATATACAGTTGGAAGAATGCCTAACATATAGGAATCATACCTAGCTTTATTAGAAAGAAAGAAAAGCAATCAAAGGACCATTCATTTCTTAGAGTGATTGCTGTGGAGCTGGACTGATATTCAAACACTATAGAAATTTGCTACTGATCTTCAAAATTAATAATAAACATATATATATATAATGGATTCAAATTCACAGAGTAAATATAACAAGCAAAATGGTTTGTTTTCTTAGGTATATCATAATAGCATCACATCAAATATTGTCAGACTCTGTGAATATGAACAGAATTGTATGGTCACTGATTGTTTATATACCACAACACTGTAGAGCTGATATGAGTTGGTCTTGCCTTGCTGTCGGGAAATCTCTGGGACCACATGCCACATCCACTGTGGATATCCTGTAGACCAATCTCCCATAATGATCAGATACGTATTTTGATTACCATGTTATACAAAGGCTCATTTCTCCTTAAAAATCATCTTAAAACACTGTGCAAGGTATTCCTGAGAAAACACAGAAAGATTTTGCAGTCATCTTTCTATGCCTAACAGCAAGATAAGATGTCATGCAGCTGGCTCCTAGGAAGACCCAAAGTAATTCATCATTTCCTTTGTGAAATTATGTTGTTGTTTTCTTAAATATACATCACATTTTCCATCATATGCAGTTGTAAATTGGGTACATAAATTATTTGTGCAAAATTACTTATTACTGCTATATACATAATCAGGAAAATTTTGGAAACTTTTGCTGCTTTTCATGGGGTCATCCTTACAATCTGAGTAAACATGTAAGCTGTTTTCCCACCAAAAGGAACTACTAGCTAAACCATTTTTATGAGATCCATTGTCTATTTATGAAGTCTGCCTTAAATTGTGGAGGGTTGGTATTTCATTTGTTTTGTTACAAGATGCACCGTGATCATCTTATACTAATGTGAAACGCATTTACTTTAAGAAATAATTTGGGGCCTGAAATAGTTCATGCACTAAATCATTCTCAACTAAAGAAAGCAGAAAAGCAAGATCTTAGTTTACCTTTAGCTAACCCCCAAAAAACCATCTGGCTGGGATCCCTCTTTTAGTACTAAATTATAAAAACTTTGTCTTCCCTCAGCACTAAAACTCAATTTACTTAAGTGCCTCCTTGTCATACATCCGTGAACAGTTTAATAAAGAAACATTACAAAATTGGTAGAACTCCTGATTTGTTGGTTTGCTTTGGCTGTTTTTCAAAAACAGTTGTAACACCTTCACATCCAAAAAACTTACAGTATTATTTGTACTTATTAACTGGAGTATACAAAATATTTGCCTTGTTGCTGAAATATCCCTGTAGCACTACAAGCAATTAACGCTTATAAGTACAAATTTTGCTAAGATAAAAGAATATCAGGAATCTACTTCCTCAGAAATAATCATTCTAACAACTAGAGACCAAATTCTGTCTTCCCTTACAGTTATGCAGTCACGCTTGTTAACTGTTGTGAGGGCAGAATTTAGCCTCAAACCACATTTTTATCTAAATACATATATTTTCCTACAGAAAAAACAAGCTATGTCTTATCATTGCTCTTCCCTTCTGAAGGGTAAATACTGATATTTGAAATACCTAAATTGTATTTACAGCTGTACAACACTGATGCCACATACTTGCAAAATATCACTTGTACTCTATAAACATGGGGTAACTTGTACTATCGGCTGAAAAACTTTTCTTAAAATAAAGAAAGAGCAGACAAGCTTAGACATTTTCTTTGTCAAATTCACACACAAAATACATGGTAATATGACACGCAACATCATTCCACCCTCCAGACGCCACCATCTCCACACAGTCCTCCTCGTCATAAGCATTGTTGGGCTCCCCACTGCGCCATTTGTTGAAGGTCTGCATGGGTGATCGGTCAGAATAGACAAAATTCCCCTCTTTCTCTAGGTCGTTAATCCCAATGAAAACTCTGGTGAGCCCGGCTTGGTTGATGTACGAGGCGATCAGATTGTTGGCAGTCTCATCCTTGGGCATGCTCAGCGTCCCTCCTCTTCCGTGGCAGTAGAGCTGGGCTTCTTTGTATCTTTTCTCTTCCTTCACCAGCAGATATATCTTATTATCTGTCTCACGCACACCAGCAACAGCTGCGGGGGAGGGCAGTGCTGAAAAGTGAGCACTCGCATTTCTATAAACCAACTTACTGTACACCCCAAAATAGCTTAACAAATCAGATGCGGGATGGTGACGCTCTCTATGAGCAATTGCACCAGTAAAATGAGGCAACAAGAAAGGAAAATATTTATATAAAATTAACCTACCATTTTTTATGAATTTTAGTTCTGTTGTCAGCTGGGCCACTTGGATATCCATTTCACCGATAGCCTTCCTTAGCTGGCTGCACTCACAGGGAATGCCTGTGAAATGATACAGATACACCAAAATCAAAAAGCTATCTAATTTCAATAATTATCTAACCAATTTTATGAAAAGGCCCAGTCTTGCAGCCCTGGAGAGGGCTGTCTTGCAAATAACAGACAAAAACCCAGAGTCTTCACTACCCTGCACCTTCATATGGTTCTCATGGGTGTCTGGGCCTACCCAGAACAGCTCAGTTCACTTCCCGTGAAGCTTCAGCCCTGCATGATTAGTGCTAAGCTAAATATAAACAGATATTCCCTGCAAAAAAAAGCTCAGATTTTTTTCTAACTAAAAACATTTGTCAAAATTTCCCATTTTGAGTAAAATTATTCTCTTCAGTCTTCTCCAAAGAGCACTTTTTCCACAACAAAAATCTGCACAGCACATTGTTTGCCTGTTCCTCACGAGGAACATAAAACAGCAGATCCAAAAAGCTAATGTTCCAACCATGTAATGCACATAATTACCTGCAAAATGTAATTCTGTACTTTTGAAGGTACAGAGCTTACAGTTCTTCCAATAAAATAAGACAACAGAAAATCATAGAATCATAGAATTGTTTAGGTTGGAAAAGACCTTTAAGATCATCCAGTCCAACCATTAACCTAACATTACCAAGTCCACACTAAACCAATCAAGGGTAGACTAGACTAAACCATGTCCCAAAGTGCCACATCTACCCGATTTTTGAACACTTCCAGGGATGGTGACTCCACCACCACTCTGGGCAGCCTGTTCCAATGCTTGACTACCCTTCCCGTGAAGAAATTTTTCCTAATTTCCAACCTAAACCTCCCCTGATGCAGCTTAAGCCCATTTCCTCTCGTCCTATCGCTAACTACATGGGAGAAGAGACCAACACCCCACCTCACTACAACCTCCTTTCAGGTAGTTGTAGAGAGCAACAAGGTCTCCTCTCAGCCTCCGCTTCTCTAGGCTAAACAACCCCAGTTCCCTCAGCCGCTCCTCATAAGGCCTGTGCTCCAGACCCTTCACCAGCTTCCTTGCCCTTCTCTGGACACGCTCCAGCACCTCAATGTCTTTCTTGTAGTGAGGGGCCCAAAACTGGACACAGTGTTCCAGGTGCGGCCTCACCAGCGCCGAGTACAGGGGCACAATCACCTCCCTGCTCCTGCTGGCCACACTATTCCTGATACAAGCCAGGATGCTGTTGGCCTTCTTGGCCACCTGGGCACACTGCTGGCTCAACCATCTATTAAAAGGAAATCGATATTGGTTTGACAAAGGTAATCTGAATGAGCATACTAAAAGGATAATTGTTTCATCTATGAGCTCAAATCTCAAAATGAGGATCAATTACAGTTTCCAGTTCTGTGTGTAATTATTCAAACCCGCATGTGACTACCCAATTACTCAGCTTAGGTGTCCAAGTCAGTCTAAGCACAGGGTACTTACACTGCAAAACTGTGCTTGATGACTAGGTATATCATAGTCTGGCTCAAGAATTAGAGTGGCAAATTACGTTCTCATGAGAAAACTAATTGGTGCACCTCTAGTGCACCCTGCCAGGAAGGGACAAATTGGGTAAAAGCTGAATCTGCCATTTTTGTAAGGCTTACACTTCTCATGCCAGGTGTTCACCTTCTTCTCTGGAAGATCTGTATTCCTGGCAATCTCCTGCTCCTATAACAATAACCCATGGAGGGGCTGGAGCCTCCAAACTGCTCCTTTGTGTTGGCTGGAAGCCAGAGAGGGATATGCAGAGATGTCCCTTTGTACTGGTGATGAATGATACAGACAATTGCAGTTCAGTTCCTGCTAGTCTTCTGGAGCGATCAAGCCTCTGAGGAGCTCTGAGACGTTTCGACAAATGGACTACAAGTCCAGCAACTACTGCAGCTTCAATAATATTAAGTAATTTGAAAATATTACAGTGAAATATTACAGTGCCTATACAAATATTTAATTGTTCATTATTTCCCCCAGTATGTAAACAGACATGTATTTTTGGTGATGATGCATGCATCTTGTAAAATCCTTTGACATACAGAAGGTGTGTCATGGATTACCTGGGTCACCATTAGGACCCGGTGGTCCTAAGTCACCATTGTCTCCTTTTTCACCTAAAGAAATGAAAAAGAATATAAATTTAAGGCAGCTTTTTTGGTCAACAGTTCATCTGGCCCTTGCTTATTTTTCCTCTAGTAACATTCAAATGTGGACAGTAGAAATATGCCCAAGAAAAAAATAAAGATTTTTCTGGCCTAGTCATTCCACAACAAAGGCCAGCCAAAGTTGTGAAATGAACACAAAGAATATGTACCAATATTCATTTTTTGACATTCATGAACTTCACAGAACCAAAAAACTCAGAGGCTATAGAGGAAAAAAGGCTGGATATGCTACACTGGTGCCTAAATCTAGATTCATAATCTAGATGCTTAAGTAAACATTGGTCCAAATTACTTAACCAAAGTCACATAGTGTCCTGGTTTCGGCTGGGATAGAGTTAATTTTCTTCCTAGTACCTGGTATAGTGTTGTGGTTTAGATTTAGTATGAGAATAATGTTGATAGCACACTGATGTTTTAGTTGTTGCTAAGTACTGCTTATGCTAGTCAAGGACTTTTCAGCTTCCCATGCTCTGCCAGGTGCACAAGAAGCTGGGAGGGGGCACAGCCAGGACAGCTGACCCAAACTGACCAAAGGGCTATTCCATACCATATGATGTCATGCTCAGTATATAAACCTGGGGGGATTGGCCGGGGGGCAGCAATCGCTGCTTGGGGACAGGCTGGGCATCGGTCAGCGGGTGGTGAGCAATTGCATTGTGCATCACTTACTTTGTATATTCTTTTATAATTATTATTATCATTATTATTTTCCCTTCCTTTTCCATCCTATTAAACTGTCTTTATCTCAACCTATGAATTTTACTTTTTTTCTTTCTTTTTTTTTCCAGTTCTCTCCCCCATCCCACTGGGGAGGCAGGGGAGTGAGCGAACAGCTCTGTGGTGTTTAGCTGCCTCACCGCTTAAACTGCAACACATAGGAAGCCTATGGGGTAGGCAAGACTAGAATTCAAATCTTCTGGCTCTTAAAAGTCTGCCAAAATACAGTGCATCTTCCCATCTGCTTCTCTTGACTGTCCACACTTGTGTGACTGTGCACAAAGTTCTTTATTTAGCCTTAAACCAGGATTCTCACCCTGCTTTAAGGGTCCTGCTGTCAGAGCAAAAGGTAACTGGCTGAGAGATCTCAGTCACGTGGCTGACTACAGTGTGAGAAACTCCCTATTATGGTAAACTCTGAGACTTGTTAATCATTTTTCAAGCCCCTAAACTTTTCTCAAACATAAATTATCACAGATTTTTCATCTGAAACACAAATGGAGAAACAATTGAACTAAGCATACCTTTTGAACCAATAGGACCAATTTTTCCATGCCGTCCCATGCTGCCTTTCTGTCCTTTGTCCCCCATTTCTCCTATACATAACAGAAAGATGAAAGACACAAGGTAGCAATGTAGTCCGATTCATTCAGATTCTAGCATGCTTGCAATATCAGTTTTTACAATGAGCAAAACCACGCTATATCCCCACTATTCATTGAGCTCCAGAGGCCCAGCTCACTTGTTTTGAAGAACTTACATATAACAACCTAGACAGTGACTTAATCTTTGCAAAGCAATTGACATTAACGAGGCATGCAGATGTAAATGAAAACGGATCGTGGCTGAGAGCCGCTGGAAAAGCTTTCGCAAACTTCTCTCAGATGATCATGCCAGAATTATGTTGAAAATGAGGGGGGGGTGCATTCAAACATGGATCAGTGCATTAAAAGTATCATGGAGTTGAGAAGACCTAAAGGATCCAAACACAACTGACAGTTTCAGCTAATACAGTAGCTCCACTGTAACTGAGGGCTGAATTTGGGCTTAATGGCTTATTTATACAATATAAACACTGTGGAAGCAGTCACATCCTCATTCTTTGCTTTCACGTTTGAAGATTACATTAATGAAAAATGAAAATCAATGGAAATCTTACATAGCCATATATACACAGACACTTGCACATGTTCATACAAAGTCTGACTCAAACCAGCAACATTGAATGTTACTAATTTTAAAGACAGTTCTACAGCATACTTCAAAGTGCAGTTGTAGCAACGGAGCTGCTAAAAAAATAATTTTCCTCAGCTGTGTTTTTACAAATAATAGGCAACTATCCACCTCTTAAGGTCAATTGAAATTGTCAACAAATCTGCATGAACCAGATGCTGTCACCTATCTGTGTCCCTGAGGCATACCAGAAATCTAATGTAAGACAGCTTGATTCACTTACTTTGTCTGATTTTGACCTCTTTTCTGTTAGTTGTACTTTCCTGTGTGATGTGAAGTGAATATTAGAATGGCTTCAGGGGAAAGAATTTGTACTGGAACAGGCAGTTTCTTTGCCATCACTGTCTTCACAAACCACGATGAAGCACTGTTACTAATAAAATGTGTGCCACAGTCCAAGTATTGATGTCACCAATCTGAGCTCCTCCAGAGCTCAAATAATAAACCAGATAAAACACGCCTGTTACGTCATACAGCTTTTCTGGATGGCGTTTCTCAAGCATTATGAAAAATAATTATCTTAATGGTGTGAATCTGAGAGAAGAACTTTAGCCTGTAATAGCAAAGCCTTATTCAATCCCATGTCTACAGAGCTCATCTACAAATTTAGGAGATCAGCAGTTGAAATTAATAAGCACTAGTCACCTAATAGAGTAAATACAGCACACTTACACATGACTGAAGGTTTTGGCTTAAACCAAGCCGTTTATAGTCAATAAACTCTATGTAGTCTAAGCCTTTCAGATCATTATTTCTAAATGATACTTTGGTTCTGGCATTGGTTTAGAGAGGATTCCCTGATTTGGTTTAGGTAGACTTTCTGAGACCTGTGAAATGAGACCTGTTGTTTTGTTACGCTCACTGTGTCGTGAATGTGGCACAGTTTGCCTGATGCTGCAATTCCTATGGCCCAAGGAGCCTCAGGAAATAATACAGCATCTCAGTGTACATTGGTGATACCCCTTCCTGGGTGCAACGCCTGAGCAAATCAATGCTCTGCCATCAGATTTAGGCCTCTTTGTATCATGATTTCAAGGAGAAACATGGTCTGGAGGCAGCACAGCTGTACAGCTACGTCATATGAGATAGGGTTCCCACTGTACCACACAGTATTAATAGAGAGCAGGTATGGAGGGGCAGGAAACCAATTGCCTTCTGAGGCTCCCATCCCACAGAAACCCAAGACCAAGACTGCTTTAGGAAATATTGATGCAGTTTTGCCAACAATTGTTGAAAAGATTGTTTCTTTGCTCAAAGCAACCTCTGTTATGCACTGTTCAGCTACACAGGAGCAAGGAATCAATGAGACAAGTTAGGAGGAAAATCTACCATAGGGATCCAGCAACTGAATTTGTATAAATTGTCATAGCTCAGCCTCGGTTGTGGATTTATGACAACTGAAGATCTGTTGCCCTCTGTTGTTACTGCAACTGGACAGACAGTCACATATTTCCTCTTAAAAGCTGGATAATTTTATGACCCATTTCATCATTACCTTTAACTTAAAAGTGAAATCAGTAACACGTTTCAGAATATAAACTGATCACCACTGGGCTAAGAGATGTCCTCTGTATTACTCCATGAAGTCTCAAGCAACTGTCACTTGATGGCATGAGTCAGGAATAATTTCCTCTGAACTGAGAGAAGCTGAATGTGTATGGCTCGTTGGTCTAATTAATTACTGGGAAGTCCTACAATCAATTATTTTCCTTTGTTTCCAACAAGGATCAAATTCAGTTACTACTGGACATGGACTCAATTAGGAAATTTTACCAGAAACCAAAAATATTTTTCTCTTATGCTATATATTTCTACTGGAAGAATGGAAATAATCCACTCAGCCAGCTGAAGATCTACTTTCTGGAATACAGCTTCACTTTCAGAACAAATTCATGGCTTGCCTTAAAGATGCAATCCATTGGGCTGTGCAGGTTATAAAGGTACTGATGCTAACATTGGATATTTATCCAATATAGGTAGTATATTGAGAGCGTATTTCCTTGAAAATCTCTAAAGTATCAGCTCGTAATGAGTTTATCAAATTGTTCTGAAAGTGACCTTTCTTGCTTTGGATATTTATGAACTGGGATTACCGTAACAGAATGTCAGATGTTTGAATGCTTTTTCTTTTCAGACTGCTACACCTGAAATTAAATAAACACATAGATCTAATGCATAAATAAAATACAATATATAAAATTACTTCACTTTCTCATAAATACTGCCCAGAAAATGAACTACTTCTCAGTAATGGCCAGTAAAAGCTACGTGATCTGCTCAGAATGAGAAGTGTGTTATCTCAAACAATGAAGACATACATTAAGTCTCCTGTGCTCATTAAAAGAACTGTTTGGATTTGGTTTTCTCTTACAGTGACTAACCCCTGCTTCTGCTCCAGGGGTTGCTTATTCTGCTTCTTCTGCAGAATAAATCACAAGGTTTCAAGAGAGACCCATCTGCCTTGAGGGTTTCAAAAGTTTTAATACCTTTTGTAAAGTCCTTTTTAGTGGCCCTGTGATTGCCAAAAATGCAGTCAAAAGAGTCTTAATGAAATCAGGAAGTGAGAGCTGAGAAGAAATGAGGACAAAAAGAAATTAAGTCTCCATAGGCCAAAAGTAGGAAATCTAACAGAAAGTCTGAATGGAGAATATGAAGCAAGTCATCTGTCATCTCTCAGATGAAGGTGGTGTACACTGGAACCAATTATAGAAGACTTAAAGGATTTTGGAAGGAACTGAAGAGAAGAAAACTCTAAATGATCTTCTTGGTGGCCTTTTTAGGCCCACAAACAAGAGAAGGAATAAAATACCAGAGATCAATGGTGGGCTGCACAATCCGTGAGAAAATGAGGGCTTTGGCTCTGTGCAACACTATAAATGGGGGTCTTCATACAGTATGGCCAATCTCTTCAGACAGGATTAATTGGAACACACAAGGAGGTATAAAACTACTTAAAAAAAGAAAAAGGTGTCAAAAAGACAAATCCCGCAGAAATACAAATTCACCATGTCACAAATTGAACTGAATCATGTCAAAGGGAAGAGAGCATTAATTTACTTCCCAAACTTAAGAATTTGAAGACAAATCAGATAGAAATTCTTCATGATTTGACACAGCGGACATCACAGACACGTACCTAAAAATGAAAGTAGAAGTGTACCAAACCAGACCAAAGGCCGCTTGACTCTAGTGCCATCTTTGACAGCAATCTGCAGAGGATACTCAGAAAAAGAATGTAAGATACAGACCAAGCTTACGGTGTCTTTCTCCCAGCGTACCTCCTTAGTCTTGCAGCATTCAGTTTTCCCAATGCAAATATTTAGCCTGACTTGAATGAGAACAGTATTTTTAAAGGCTATAATGATGTTATGGTATGGTAGTAATCTACATTCAGGACAGTTAACTTTTGAATACTACTGGCAACTGGAAATAAAAAAATTCTGAATACACCAATAGACTATGGTACTGCTTTACGCTAAATAATCTGAATTATCCACACGACTGAAGGTTGGTGATTGGCTAGGGATCAGTGGTTACAACACAGCTACATCTTATATTAACAAACAGTGGATAAGCCCAGGTGGCATTTTATGTAGTTGGGGCAAATTAACTTCACCCAGCATTAGCCACCTGGAAGTTAGGTTTTTAGTCTAAGCTATTTATCTAAGCTCCCTTGGTGGGCAATGGAGAAATAAACACCTCTCAGCAGTGATCCATCCCACTCATATTAGACAGGTATCTTAACGACAAAGTGAAACTCTAAAAGCCTTGCATAACAAACAGGAAAAAAAAAAAAAGAGGAAACTTATCAATCCATACTGACTAGAAATCAGAAAGGCTAGAAAATTTGCAAAGGAAACTAAAGATAGTAAGAAAAAAACAAATCTAGGAAGGCAGCAGAAAAGTTTAAAGGAGTTTAAAGTATATTCAAAACAAAAGAAATGGAAATAGTATGGTCCATTCTTGAATGGGTGAGTTTATACTCACTTATGCACACAAACACAAATAACTGCCCTTATGAAACATGTATCTTGCCAGAATTACATTAACAACAGAATACCAAGCTTGTTCAGACCAGTGGTCCCTCCAGCCCAACACTCTGATTCCCACAATGGCAGCAAGAGGTGCAATACAGGGAGGTCACACAGCCCCAGCAACTATCTGCAGTCCATTGCAGATGGAGTTGCGGAATCAGTCCCCCAGCAGTTTCAGTGAGTGTCCGCTAGTTCAGGTATGAGGGGAGACCTTATGGCTCTCTACAACTACCTGAAAGGAGGTTGTAGTGAGGTGGGTGTTGGTCTCTTCTCCCATGTAGTTAGCGATAGGACAAGAGGAAATGGGCTTAAGCTGCACCAGGGGAGGT